CTGCAGACTGCTGTTGCTGCTGCAGCGGTTGCTGCTACTGCTGCAGCAGCAGCAGCTGTTGCTGCTGCTGCTGCTGTTTATCCTTAATAGATAACTTAACCTGCTGCAACTCTCTCATCTCCCTGTTGCTGCTCTCACACCTGCTGCTGCTGCTGCTGCTGCAGCGGCAGCTCTTGCTGCTGCTGCAGCTCTTGCTGCTGCTCCTGCTGTTGCTGCTGCTGCTGCAGCTCTTGCTGCTGCTGCTGCTGCTGCTGCTGCTGCTGGTTGCTGCTGGGTTGCAGGAATTTGTGTCTGACCCTTCGCCTGCATATTGGGCATTCCAGCGCAGCAGCTAGCTGCCGCCCCCAACACTCCTGAACACAGCAGCAGCAGCAGCAGCAGCAGCAGCAGCAGCAGCAGCAGCAGCAGCAACGAGAATAATAGGAACAGACAGCAGCAGCAGTAGCAGCAACACACAGTAGTAGCGGGAGAAACAGCTGGTGCAGCAGCAGCAGCAACAACACTCAACAGCAACAGCAGCAGCAAATGTTGCTGCTGCTGCAGCAGCAGCAACATTCGCTGCTGCTGCAGCAGCAACAACACCTGCTGCTGCTGCTGCTGCAGCAGCAAGACACACAGCACCATATACTGCAGCAGCAACAACAGCTGAAACAGCAACACCAGCAGCAGTAAAAGCAACGCCAGCAAGTGTAACAGCAGCAGCAGAAAGTGCAGCAGCAGCAGCAGAAACTGCAGCAGCAGCAGCAGCAGAAAGTGCAGCAGCAGCAGCAGCAGAAGGTGCAGCAGCAGCAGGTGCAGCAGCAGCAGCAGCAGAAGGTGCAGCAGCGGGGGCATCAGCATCCGCACAATCATAATCAGCAGCATCAACATCAGCAGCGGCATCAGAAGCATCAGCAGCAGCAGCAGCAGCAGAAGCAGCAGCAGCAGCAACCGCAGCAACAGCAGCAGCAGCAGCAGCAGCAACAGCAGCAGCAGCAGCAGCTAACATTGCATGCGGTGTGCCCGCAGACGATTGATTTAAGCAACGGCTTTCGGTTGACGCAAATTAAACATTCTCCATCTTCTTCTTCCTGCTGCTGCTGCTGCTGCTGCTGCTGTTGCTGCTGTTGCTGCTGCTGCTGCTGCTGTTGTTGTTGTTGTTGTTGCTGCTGTTCTTCATGCTGTTGCTGCTGCTCTTGCTGCTGCAGTTGTTCCTGCTGCTCTCCCCGTTCCTGCTGCTGCTCTCCCTGTTCCTGCTGCTGCTGCTGCTGCTGCTGCTGCTGCTGCTGCTGCTGCTGCATGCGGTTTGCTGCTGTCCTGAGTATGTGATCTCCTCTATCAGCAACAACATCTATCAAGACAGCAGCAAAAGGGGGCCCAATATAATTATAAATTATAAACCGAAGGTAAGAGCTGCGCCGCTGCAGAGTTTCATACAATGCATGCCACTCCTGCTGCTGCTGCTGCTGCTGCTGCTGCTGCTGCTGCTGCTGCTGATGCTGCTGCTGCTGCTGCTGCTGCTGGGGCTGCAGCAGGAGAGTGCACATTTTGTTTACAATGGCGGCGTATTGCTTCGCCAGCTCAGCCCTTCGGAAGTTGCTGCTGCTGCTGCTGCTGCTGCTGCTGTTGCTGCTGCTGTTGTTTGTGTTGCGCCTAGCAGTCTGCTGTTGCTGCTGCTGCTGCTGCTGCTGCTGCTGCTGCTGCTGGGGCTTTGTGAGAGCTGAGAGTTGCTTCAGCAGGCAGCAGAAGGCGGGGTATGCTGCTGCAGTTAGCTCCTCTTTGAGTCGCTGCAGCAGCTGCCGTCCCCTGTCTCTTGCTGCTTCTTTGCTTGCATCGTTGCTGCTGCTGCTGCTGCTGCTGCTGTTGCTGTTGATGGCGGTGGTGTTGCTGCTGCTGCTGCTGCTGCTGCTGCTGTCTGCGGAGCCGTCGGTTGGTGCAGCTGGAAGACGTTTGGCTTCCCCTTGAGATCCTGGGTGCTGCTGCTGCTCTTGCTGCTCTTTTGCTGCTGCTGCTGCTGCTGTTGCTGCTGCTGCTGCTGCTGCTGCTGGTGGTTTAGGGTCAGCAACGAAACCAACAGCAGCATTAGCGAGAGCCACGAGGGAGCCAGCAGCAGGTTGTCTGCTTCTTGCTGCTGCTGCTGCTCTCTTCTTAAGCGGCCTGGAGCCTTGCTGCTGCAGCAGCAAACGTCTTCGTTCCGCAGCAGCAGCAACAGCAGCAGCAGCAGCAGCAGATTGTGCCTCTTCTGTGTCGTTGCTGCTGCTGTTGCTGCTGCTGCTGTTCTGTGTTGCTGTTTGCTGCTGCTTTGTGTGCAGCAGCTGCTGCTTCAATCCCTCAGCAGCAGCAGCAGCAGCAGCAGCAGGAGGAAGCTTGGTGCGGCTGAATATACCAGCAGCAGCAGCAGCAGCAGCAGCAGCAGGAGCAGCAGCAGCAGCAGCAATTCTTTCTATTGCAGCCCAATCAAAGGCTATAGGGGGGAGAGCAGCACCTGTATCTCTGAGTGATCTGCTGCTAGCTTGCTGCTGCAGCAGCGGGGGAACAGCAGCAAAGAACTCTGCTGCTGCTGCTGCTGC